AAAGTCGTCTGCAATGGAAGACGAAATGTATCTTCGTATCCACCTTGCGTGTTCTGGGAAGTTGGCTGGTCCAAAACAGTCGTTTGGGTTGTTTGTACCATAGCACTCAAGTAGCCAATTGACTTCATTTGCACTGAAAGTTCTGAAAAAGTCTGCAAAGAATAGCACATCTCTGAAGTCAATAATAACAACACGGTCAATTTCTTTGATGTGTTTTGTTATATAATTTCTGAATGCAATGAATCTAAAAACAACTGCATCTTGGAATGGGTGTCTTGTCACTTTATAAGTCTCGACGTGGAGGTCTGAAAGCCTTTTAAAATTACCAACACAAGTTGATGGTATTGAACTGAAAAGTAGAAACACAATTCGACAATCGGGCATTGCAATTCGTGTCATTTCAAGTGCTTGATAAACAGACTCTTTGATACATTTGTTTTTGAAATCATATGACCCAATAACCAAATCCCTTTTAGTATTTGGACCATATTTGAAGACATCACCACACACCCCACTGTAATTGAATTTGGAAACGTCAATGTAGTTATTTTTGTAATAAAACATACCCGTCGACTTATTGTGTGTAAACTTGGTGTTGAATACATCAAGTGATGGAATGTCGATGTGTTGATTACTTCCACTGACACTCAGCGATGAAAAAGAATATGTAAAAGAAAGGTCGTGTTGAGTTGGAGTTATCAGAACAAAGAGAATGAAAACGATGAACGATAAAACAACGGAGGAAAAATAGTGTGGAAACGACATTATTATTCAAAGTTTGTTCAAGCGATTTTATTTGAAAAATAGGAAGGTATTTCTGCGTGATTTTCAAACGAAATAACAACAATTTGTTATTTGCAATAAAAACCAAGTTAATGAAATTATCATAATTTGGTAATACCAAAACAAAATGAAGTCAAATTCAATAATAGATATTAATTTTGTTGTGTTTGTTTTTCAAAAAAATATAAACTTTTCGTTTCGATAATATTTATTTTTAATTTAAAAGTAATTGTATTTATAAAAACACAAAAATGAATTCCACTCATATATGAAATAATAGTACTTGTTTTTAACAATAAATAGTTATTAAAATACAAATAATTACAGATTTTGTGTTTATTTTATGTTTGAAAATGTCATTGATTATTAAGTTATTTTAATTAAAATGGTTCAATCATTTAAACAATCGAATTATAGGACTGTATTGTTAAAAATGATTTGGTATTTTCCAGTGCTATAATTTACTATTATATATATTATAAATTATATTAATATCATTAGTAAAAGTAATGATAACACTTTTATTATTGAATAATACTTTAAAATTAATTATATTTCTATCCTATTTTAAAATAATATTCGCTTCATATAAAACCATTGCTATTTGTATCACTAATAAAGTCAATTATTTTAAAGCTTATTGTCTCAATATTTTTATTATTGATGATTAAACAGAGATTGCAACTGTTCTTCGATGCAATGAATATCTAATCGCTCTTTTTGTTTCTGTCCCCAACAATTTTGTATCAATTCATACAACATAATTGGGATTGGTTCACCATTCTCAGGACGCTTTCTAGATGATACAAACTCTGCAATTTTCCAAAGAAATTTGAATGTAATGATAGGATATGCATCTTTCCAAGAAAAATACTCAAACATGGTTATTGCAAATGAATACACGTCTGCACATTTCGTGTTTTTTTTGTTTCAACATTTCGGGCGCCATATAACTTGGTGTTCCAATTCCTTTTGTAAAGGTCATATTAGTCATCAATAAATTGACATTTCTAGCACTTCCAAAATCAGTTAACTTTGCATTTACACCATTCAAATTTATTGACAACACGAAGATGTTGTCTGGTTTGATGTCTTTGTGTAGCATCCCATTCTCATGAAGATATAATATTCCCTTTGAAGCGTCTAACATGAATTTGACACAAAGTTTTATATTCATAATTTCACTCTTTTTATTTTTCATCAAGTCTTGTAAACTTCCATATTGTGCAAATTTGGTGACCATACATATCTTGCTCGGTATGAATACAGCGCCATAAAAGTAAACGATAAATTCACTTCTCAACTTGTCTAACATTAAAACCTCATTCTCAAATTCTTCCATTTGATGTGAAGAATTGACAAAATTTTTCATCTTTTTGATAGCAACGATATTTCCTCTGAAAATACCTTTAAACACAATTCCAAAAGAGTCTTCTCCAAGTTTCTTCTCTTCAACCAACTCGTCTGGATCAAGTCGTGTTGATAGTTTGGTGGTGTATTTAAAATTAACATGATGTGCACATGATGTACCATCACTTGTGGTAAAGAGATAACTAACAACAAAAGTACTGTCTATTGTCGATGTACACAATGGATTAAGAAATAGACTAAATTCACACGCAAATTTTGGGGGAATTGTTACAATTGAAGGTTCAAAACGGATTGTGTATTTTTCAATATCACTTTTAGAAGTGAACTGAATCTTCACTTTGTGGTTTGTTGTGTTTCCAATAGAAAACAGATTTTTGATTTCTTTGTTAACATCAATTTCCTCATAGTCTTGGTCATCATAGGTGATCACAAATTCTTCATTTCTGGTGTGAATTGTCAGACTGTCTGCCATATCAACAAAAATCATATTTGTGTGCTTTAATTTGAAGAGCGTGAGTCCACTGGTATCTCTTTTGTGCTTAATGAATTTAATCATAACAAACAAGACCAACACTGTGATCAACACAAGAATGGCGATGATAACAACAACTATAAGAAATATCACCCATTACACCGCCGTTTTCGAACAATGTGTGCCATCGTCACTTGGTGAATACCAAAATGTACATGATGAACATTTTGAGTCTTTTGTTTTTGTGCACTTTGTGATGGTGTTATAACTCACACACATGGTGCTTTTGAGTACAAATGTATCATCACATGAAATGCACTGATTTTGTTCTGAACACTTTGCACACCCTTCAACACACTTCTGACATTCATTTCCATTGACTGTGTAATACCCGTCTTTACACGTTGAACAGCCACTTTCAGTCACTTCAACGGCACACGTCGTTATCGAAGAGCGTGGAAGACAATCACCATTACTTGTTTTGTAGTTTGTTGCATTGCATTTAATACACGAGTTCTCTGTCAGACACTCACCACACTTGACATCACACAGCACACAATCTGCTCCCTTCTTGTAATACCCAACTTTGCAAACCAAACAGCCGTTCCCATATGGTACTTTTCGTGCACAAGTGTCATTCAACGCGTCATTGGATTTGCAGGTGTAGTCACTCAAAAAGTATCCATCTACACATGACAGGCACATTGTCAAATTTAAACAACTTTCACAATTTGAGTTGCACGTTTCACATTTGTGTGTTGATACATTCAAGTAAGTATTTCCATCACATCTGATACACCCAACCGGAGTTGCTGTTCCACAATTCACATCAATTGCTGATGATTCAACACAACTCGCATTGCCATCATATGAGTACTTTGAAGAACATTCGACACACATGCCATTCACATACTTTATGCAGTTGTCTATTTGTGGTGCGCACTTTCCATTCTCTTTATTGTTTATTCCATCTGAACACACGTTTTTGACACAAACACTGCCATCTTCTTTCACATAATACGTCTTATCACACTTCTCAATAATTTTGGACGAACACAACAAACTTCCATTGTTGTAAGTTGTACAGTCGTTACACACGTTGTTTTGTATATAAAACCCATATTTGAATTCAACAACATTTGAGAGACTGTGAACAGCTACATTGCTTTTTACAACACTGCATACTCCATTGGTGTTGATTAATGTCGTGTTTGTTAAATCACACGTTCTGCACTCTGACTCGATATTTACTTTTATCTACAATTTCCGTTGTCTTCAGTGATATCAACACAATTGTTACCTTCAAATACAAAGCCATCTCTGCATCGAAGACACTTATCTTTTATTAATGAAAGACAGTTTATGTATTCTTCACATGTGTTTGATATGGTATTGTATGTCATATTCTCTTTGCATTTTATGCATTTACCTATGTCACCATCACACATCAGAAAATTTGTGACTTGACATGCTGCACATCTCCCATCAGCAGTCTTGCCACCCTCATAACATGGTAAATGATTTTGACAGGTGAATATGCCGTTTTGGAAGTGCCCCGACTTGCACGACATGTTGTTGTATACAAACCCATTCGCTGCAACAAGAAAAACGTTTTTTGTGATTGTAAAATTATCTAAAACCACTTGGTTGTCAGAATATATTTCAATCTCAATAAAATCGGTGAGTGACAAAAAGTATTTTTCGTTTCCAATTACAATCACATTTTCTTCGTTTTCTGCTTTTTTATTTAAACTCTGTTTTGGCACATCTACTTTGACTTTCATTTGATAAAAAGTGTCAATTGGTGTGATGTACTCATCGGTGAGTGGGCAATAACTTTCGATGTAATATGGTATCGTGTGTCTTCTGTGTGGTTCACATGACAATATATCTTATCTGAAGTACCATACCGTAATAGGTGACCTTCTAAAAGTTCTTTGAATGGGGTTGTGTACAATGACATGTTAAGAGTGTTGTTTGAATATAAAAAGTCGAATTCACCTTCATGTTGAAAATCAGAGAAAACAGTTATTGTAACTGTGTTCGATACAAAAAAGTCGAAGATCTTTGATTGTTCTCTGTGGAGACTTTAAATGTGCTTGTCAATTTTAAAATGAGATTTTCTGTTTGAATTGTACTTCGATTATCGGCAACAAATACTCTTGTCAATTCAAACGATTTTGATACAAATTAATACGTTGTGTTGAACTCGATATTTGAAAATATCTCTAGATAATTTAAAAATAAAAGAGCCTTGCAAATCAACATGTGAATTATCATTTATTGATATTTGACTTCCAACTTTATTTGAAAACAAATTTAAACAATAAAGTCTTGACTTCCCTAAAAGTGTATTTGGAGATGTACCACCACTTAAAGATGTATTACCTTCCACTGAAATTCTTGAATTGTCAGAAAAAATCAAAATAGAAGAACTTATTTCTAATTGATTGGTATTTATAATTTAATTACCAGTCACATTACACATACTATCGATCTCGAATTCAAATAATTCAAAAACAATCAAATTGCAATTTGATTCAAGTGTGATATTTCCTCCTACAAGTTCCAAATTTTTTTCTGTTTTCAAAGTTAAGCCAGTTGTCATTTGTAACTTACTAGTTGTAACTTTTAATGATTCTGAACATTCACAAGTATCATTGGCAGACAAAACATATTCAGTTTCTTCTATTACATTTGGCTGACATGTTGATAACGCAAATTTAATCGACACAAATTCAAAAAACAATCTTATTACAAACAGATGATTTACAAGTTTTTTTACTTAAATTAATAAAATACAAAATGTGTTAAATTTTGTTGTGTAAATTTATAATGTAATTAATAAATCAATTAAAAATGAATTGCAATTGTTCCCAATAAAAAGTTTTTTTAATATTTTTGGATAATAACATTTGTAATAAAAAAACAAATAAATATTGGTCAGAATATAAAATCTTTTGACAAGATCTAGAATTAATAACGTCTCCTTAAAAATATTTTTTTACAAATTGTTTTGTTTTAAAAAAAACATCGTTGATTAAATTGAGTTAATCTAAATACTTTAAAGTGAGTAAACTTTAAACCTAGTTAGATAAGTTTAGTATAATTAGATAACTAACTAGGGTGCGCAACCGTAAGAATTAATTATTTTTTGTAATTATTATTATTGTTTTTTATTTTTATTGTAAATTAAGTTGTTCATTCGACATAATCATTGGTATATCTTCTACTATATACAATCTTTTCATAGCTGATATATATAATGAGCAAAAATCAAGATTTATATCTTGTCTTTAACATATTGCATTTTATTATCTTAACACATACATTTACCTCCATAAATAGCTCCTCTTTAGAAATCTCCAACATTGGAATAATAATAATATAGATTATCAACTTTAGAATACATATTTTTTGTAAAACATATATTTGCTAAAGAAGGAGCTGTTAAAGTAGTATTAACATCTACAGTATGTGAGAATAGTATGTGAGAATGAGAAAACCCTGTGGATTCAACAAAAGTTACAATTGTGTAACTTTTATGTAATAAAATTATTATTTTTTTATTTCAAAAAATTCAAAAAGATCAAATAAAAAAATCACTTATTTACAGTTCATTTTCTCTTTCAATTTGTTTGGAAACCTACAAAGCAGCTTTCAGAGTGTGAACAGCCAGCCAGCACTTACCAACTAATTGACTCAGACCTCACGCTAAAGAATCCCAGGAATACTGGACAAATCAGCCATAGCAGCTAGACGATTCAAAGCAGGCAACGTTTAATTTAAGAGTTTTTGCGAGCAAGTTCTACAAGTTAATATCTCAATAACGAAAGAAAGTTTAACAAACGAATATTTTCTATTGGAAGGACTTATGATAGTTCAGACATATGTTGATTCAAACAGTGACCATTCTGACCTGTGATAGGAAACAGTAATGTGAACTGGGCGATACAACTGATTAAAAAGATAAAAATCAATCGATTAAATTCTCAACCCCATTTTTAGTTCTTTTTGAGATTTTTTTGGTCGTCTTTTTCTTCACAACTTTACATACAACATCCCGTTCTTTTCTTTTTAACGGCTTGCAAACAGACTGACACGAATAACCCTCAAAATACATTGAAAGCTTTCGAACTGCAGATATTTTCAAGCTTTTGGTTTTGACGCATTCAATTGAGTATAACTGTGGTATACTTAACAGTTTCGGTATTTCTGCTGTTACTCTGCGTGACACTCCAATATCCACATACGCAACCCTCATACCACTATCAACAATTCTGAAATCAATACCAACTTGCCTAAAAGCCTGCGTGCACACATCCGGAGTGGTTGTTTGGAAATAAGACTTCAGAATTGAGTTGAGGTATTTGGCAAACTTTTTTTCTAAGTCCTCTCCATCACCGAATTCAACAATTTTAGTTTCATTTGGTATTTCGTTGCGATCTTCTGATTGGTTGTCATCCACCATCCTTTCGTTGACAGTCGTACCAGCCTTCTTTTTAAATGGTGATATCGCTTCTTGTGGATTTGCCAGCACTTCCTGAAACATTTCCTTAAACTGTTGAGGTATTATTGGTTCTTCAATGGGATCTTGGCTTCCAATCACATCATCCGACTCTTCTTTTTCTTCAACGTCTTCACTTTCTGTCGTTGTTGTTTCTTCCTCGCCAACTCTATCTTTAATTTTTATGACATCTCTGAACTTAGCATACAACGAATTCAGTCTTCTTTTTTGGGCTGCAAACACCCCAACATCTAATGGTTGTGTTAAATGTGAGGTGTGAGGCACCAAACATACGATTTCACAGTTCACGTTGATGATTTTCTCGTTGACTTGGACATTCGACTTGAGCAACAACCTCACATCTTCGATTGAGTGGCACGTGCACTGATCAAATATCAGAACGGCCTTATCAATATAACCAGTCTTAATTCTCATGTCGACAATATAAGGTACTACAACGTCGTTGATGTATTGTATAAATAAGTCACTGTGATAAAACCCATTTTTGCTATAACTGACGATGTTTCCCGTTTCCATCCAACCCAATTTCAAGAATTCAACTGCAACTCTTTTGTATTTTGTTACAATCATACAAGGAAGAGGTTGTGAGGGGGTAATAGTGCAAACGACAGTGGATCGAGCAATGTCACGTTCGACTCCATATTTCATTTTACTGTCTGTGGAAAAACCAGCAGTGAATACTCCCTTCACCATTTGCCTGTCTGGCCATGGCTGATACCCTGACTCATCCAAATTCAAAATAAATGGTGATGGGATGCCATTTAAAAAAAGTGGCAGTGCAATGTAATACTTCAACACGGCATCTTCGTCGTAGGTCAATCGAGATTGGTCTTCAGCAAACACAGTAACAATCGAAAAGTTCCAATTTTTATGTATTTTATCATAAATAATGTGGTTTGACACATCAACGTTGAAGGTTTTTATTATAAACAACCTCAAATAAGTTATGCTGATAGCTTTGCATTTTCCTGGAAACTTTTCATTATCAAGAATCAAATTCTTGACAATTTCCCATTGTGTTTCAGTTAAAAGTGACGGTCTTCCGTTATCTTTTTTTCCAAACAATGCCGTCTCCATACCTCTTCGTTTGTTGATATTAAACTGACTTGAAGTTAAAGCAAAGACTCTACATAGTTTACTCTCGGTCACCTTTTCCGTATTAATTCCATTGAAAATTTCTCTTTCAATATTCATCAAATACACCTGAACATTCAGGGGCAATTCACAAAAGTTGCAATGTTTGCTGAATGTTCTTTGGGCTATTTCTTTCACTGGACCAGGACAATACTTTAAATTCTTTTCAAGTGTTGTATGGTCTAAGCCACTAAAAGCAACATTCCTGGAGCTCATAATTATATTATTTAGATTGTTTTTTTTAAAGAAAAACATTTTTATTTAAAAAAAGAAAAACAAATATGTAATTTTTGTTGAATCCACAGGGTTTTCTCATTCTCACATACTTTTCTCACATACTGTATATTTAAATTAGATAAACAATATTCTCTAAATTTATTAAATCCTTTTAAGTATTTTAACATCTTGTTTACAATAGAATTCTGCATAATCTTTAACTTTAAAATATAAATTATCTTCAAATGGTTTTACCATATTTAGTTTAAATATGTTTATATAAAATTGTTTATTTTTATCTTTATTTTTAAAATAATTGCATGCTTCAACTACTGAACCATATTCAGAATATATATTGGATTTATTGTAGAAATTATATGGAAAAGCTTCTTTTACACCCACATCAAAACTAAACATTTTAGGAATAGCTTTTAAAGGCATATTTAATAATGATAATGAATCTTTAAATGTAATTGTTTAGATTTAGAGTATGGAACTTTAACTTTAATCTTTAATTTAAATAATTTATTACCTTTAGGAATATATTCCATAATATCATAATCATCCATTAAGAATTTCCA